TGCACTTTATCGGAGTGCTGTTTGTACATCGGGCACTCCTGCAAGGGGTAAGGATTCTCGCCACAATATGCGCATTTTACTGATTCTTTGTGGCAAGAATCCTCTTTGTGGTTTTCACCACATTTGCCACAACGAGTTTTGTTGCCGCAATGGCTGGCTGAGTGTCCCAGCCTTTTGCAGTTGGTACAATTATATACCCTCTGTACAAACAACCGCACCGGAAAAAAAGCACCATCAACTTTAACAAAGTTTGGGAGAACTGAACCAGCGAAAGTCACCCGAAACGAGTCTGAATGCTGATAAACTTTCTTGCCATCTTGCAAAGATACTGAATGCAGTTGCCTGACATCCAGTATCTGTACCTGCTCTCCGATTTTCGAGTTTTTGAAGCAACCCGATGCTCGTTTTAAGTCCTCGACACTCAGACTCGCGTCGGAGACCACACCTTCTATCTCCACATCTCGAGAAGGGATGTAGATGTTGTACTCGACACTAAACAGCTCGTGTTCAGCAATTTTATTTGCCACATCATAAGTCGGTGCTTCTACACGCAGTTTATTGAATCTCTCTTTATGTACCAAGATTCCCGGATACTTACGCAGCAAATCTCTCGAAATGTCGAGAGTTTTCAAAGGTTTATTTTTGGGCCGAAAAAAGACAACCCATGGTCCTTTCGAAGACGGCTGGTAGTACCTGGTTCGCGCAACGTAGACATCCGAAGACGCCATAAGTGTTGCGCAAAAGCGGTGCACAACCACTTAAAAAGGAAAAGAAAAAAAATATATATAAAAAAAACCTTCACCAATTAATCTACTTAACTACTAGTTGTTAATATTTTGTTGCCCAGTGTATGAACAACAAAAAAAAAAAAACAATAAAAAAAATATCAAAAAAAAAAAACAAAAAAAAAACTTTTTAATAGTTGCAAGAAGTTGCACCACTATAGCCCTCACAACCCTATCAGGGGAGAGGGTAAAGCCACGCGCAAAATTGAATAACAAAAGCGCGGCAATGGGCTAGAGAAGACTATTGTATGGTATACTTAACACCGGCCGGTGCCGGCTGTGTGAGCTGGTGCAGCCACTCCGTTTGCTGCTTTGTTGTTGTTGCTTGCTGCTTTGGAGTGGTGATGAGATGATGACGGTGAGATGATAGTCCACCTATAGCGTCGCTAAAGGTGGCTACTTCCTCTGCTGACTGCGGTTGCCTTGGGCACTGAACTTCGTCCACGGTAGGAATAACGCGCGATATAAAAAACCACTATGGTGGGAAAAAAAACTCCACCGGCTACGAAACCAATACCCGCAACGGAGACACGAACAAACTACGTCCGGCTACTTCAAGCTATCGGCGAGGAATGAGCGGATCCTGTTAGCAAAGTTCTGATTTCTGAGGTCCACCATCTTAGCTTGGATGGTTTTTGTTATGCGATTACAGTGGGTCTTCAAGACAGGCAAGCCAGAACGCTGGTATTGTCTTCGAATGGAGCTACGGAGTCTAATGAGATTTTTGGTAAATCCATCAAGGTTCAGAGTATTGCTCACATGTCTGGATACTGGCACGTGTTGTTCCCTGGCCTGGGATATCGCCTTCTCGATCGAACGCAGACACCGGTCAACGTCTTCGTGTTGGAACTGATCCCAGCTGACGCGATGGTACTTGCGTCGGGCAGCTTGTAATTGGTTGACGAATGAACTCACATCGGCCACCACCGGGTAGTGGTCCAAACTCAGCTCCTGGTGGGTCACAGGTTGCGAGATGTTGTCTCCCATGTTGCTGACGAAGATGTCGATGGTGGAGTGTACGCCAAACCGGCTCAAGCGGGTGGGAGAGTCCGACGATATTATGGTGTAGCGAGCCTGTTGCAGGTCGTCGTTCAGGATTGTGCCGTTTTGGTTGCGTCGACTGTTGCCCCAAGCCTGGTGTTTGGCGTTCAGGTCACCAGCGATGATGTACTTCTCACGGCGTCTAGTTAGCCTGATGAAGTCTCTCCGCAGGTCTGCTGCCGACCCGTCCCTGATGGTGACTTTTTTGAGACAGTAGGCCGCAATGATGGTAATTGGGCGGACGGGATTAGAGACTTCCACACCCACCGCTTCGATCATCTTCAGCTGGAAACTCGGTTGCAGTCGACAGCCAATATTTCTCCTTAATGCGATAGCCACTCCTCCTCCGCAAGAGCTGGTCCGGTCTAGGCTTATGAACCGAAAATCGGGGAGGTGAACATTTATCTCCGGCTGCAGGTGTGTTTCGGTGATGACCGCGAAGTCAATGTTATGTTCATTGAGGAAATCAACGAACTCAATGATTTTGCTCGTGAGCAAGCAAGCGTTCCAGTTGACTATTTTGATGGCTTCACGGTCCATAATTTTGCACGAGGGACATAACTGCACGAAGCTGTTCAGGTAGTGTCTTGGTGGTGCGCAAGATTATGATCACCTCAGTCCCGAGGATCACTAGTTCGTCGCTTGTGAGTGGATAATTGTCTACTGACTAACCTGACACAGCACGGGCGTACGATAATCCCGGGGCAGTAGAGCCGTAGTACACGTAGTACAATGACACAAAACGAGCTTGAGGGCTTAGCTCAAGAAGCTCCTCAAAGTTTGCAATCACCAGTGGCTTCATAATTTCACAACAGGTGAGGAGCCTGAGGGACAATTCCGAAAACCGATCAGAGAGTGGCAACATGCCCGCCAACACTTCAAGACTCATCGTATGAGTCGAGTGCATGCATCCTAACGCGATACGAAGACAGCGATACTGGATCCGTTCCAGTTTGATGATTTGCGTTTCAGCCGCCTACTGGAAGCAGAAACTACCGTACTCTAAAACCGATAAAATCGTTGTCCGGTACAACGTTAGAAGATCTTGTGGATGGACTCCCCACCACGTTCCGGTAATTGTACGGAGTAAATTGATCCTTTGTTGGCATTTCCGCTTCAAATACTCAATGTGGGATCTGCAGGGGCATTTTGAATCGAACCAGACCCCAATATATTTGAAGGACATAGAATGAGTGATCGGTGGACCACACATTTGAATTTTCATAATTTATTACATTCCAGGGAAAATACTGGAACCAACATTGAACACTAACACTAACAATATGGTTTTTATGTTTCCCACACATGAATTGTGTGGTACATCAAAGTTTTGCAGGGTTTTGAAAAAGATCGGAGTTCGGAGCCAAAAGAAAATGAAAAGGACCTAAATGTTGTTGTGTAGCCCAGCGTCCTTGAGGAAATAAATAACTGTCGCTAAGGTGGAAGGTTCGTCGTCCAGTATGTCCCTAATGCTGTTGGGAAGTGCGTACTGCTCCCGTAGTTGGTGGTATTGCGGACACAGGCATAGGATGTGTTCCACCGATGCAGTGGTTCCGCAAACGTAGCACATTATGTGGAACTGCGTTCCACCAAAACTATGTGAGATCCTTGTATGGCCTGTCCTAAGACGAGAAACCACCTTCTGGTCCCGTAGTTTCGACACTTTCGTCCACTTGCTCGTCGTTCCTTTAATTCTTCGGATGAAGAGGGATTGGGATTGGCACCGATCTACTTCCCAGGCTTCCCACATTTTGCTGACCATTCATCGCTTTATGTCCTGGAGTGGCACTTTGTCGGTGTAACGGGGGCCAGCTGGGTCAGACCCTGCCAGGCTGTCGGATATCGCAGTGCCCAGGGATCCAGGAAAACACCGTGTTCGGAGGTGTGGCCTCCACAATACCCTGTATCCAGGTGTGAGTCAGGGTCTCAGATGTAAGGGCTTGTATCACGCTGTATGAATCGGATAGCACCAGTATAGGCCGGTCCAAAGGGTGTTGTAACGGCAACAAAGATGGCCGCAGCTTCGGTGGAGAAAACCGCGCATTGTGGTGGTAGGTTGCTACTCATCGGTGCTGAAATTCCGGCTACTCCAATTCCGACCCCGGCTCGGGAAAGCGATCCGTCCGTGTACATGCGGGCATGGGTTGGGTATTCCGATCCTAGCAGTTCGGCTACTGTTCTCTTCAGCGCTGCAGAGTTATCTCCAGTCTTGAACCTGCTCTTTATCCGACTCTAGATTTTTGGTGGAGGTATGTGCCAACTTTTGTCTCCGTACCAGTGGACCTTGGCCACTGGGGGGAGCTCCGAATTGGCAGTCATGCGGAGGAGTCTGTTCCCCTCATCGAGGAGAAAGATCCTGTCATTTCCGGAGATCATTGCTGTAAAGGCAGTGGCTTTCGTTGCAATTGCTGCGGTTATACGATGGCGAAAGGGAGAATACCCGCTTCGATGCATGCGGCATCGGCCACAAGAAGACCGGAGACAATCCGAACGTAGGTGTTGAAAGTTGGTGCTAAAATCTGCACGAGCTTTTCAGTGGCGATGCACGTCATCTCAAGACCGTACAGTAGGCGACTATCGATGATGGCTCTTGCAACCCGGAAACGAGTGTCGCGATTGTTGCGGCAGTCGTTCTTGATCGCCTTAAAGTGCTGCTCGAAGTTGAAGGACCGGTCAACTAGTACCCCCAAAATACGGACCGTCTTCTTCAGTGGTATGGGCTGGCTTTGAACTTTGATAGGTGGCCTGCTGACACGGTGCCGGGATGGACACACGTGACACCTGATGCTTTTGGTGGCCGAAAGCTGGAAACCTACCGCGCTGGCCCACCTGGCTACAGCGGAGACTGATGCCTGGGCCTTGATCCTGTTATGTGCTGCTGTTGGGCCGGTAGCTACGATAAGTACATCGTCAGCATACACGAGAATGTAAACAATTTTCGGCAGTCCTCCGAAAACACCATGCATGGCCACAACGGCGATAACGGGTAACGGCGATAACTGAACCTCGTGGGACGCCCGTCTCTTCTCTGAAAAGCTGTGACCTCGTGTTGCCACCTGCGACTCTGAAAGAACGATCGGTCAGGAAAGTTTTGATGAAGTAGACCATGGGTCCACACCGCTCCCAGTTGACAAGCTGCTCTAAGACGAGGGGTGTCCACGTCCTGTTGAAGGCCTACAATATATCGAGCGAGACGATCTCGGTGTGGAGACCGCTATCTTTGGCACTCTTGAGGACCTCTCCTAATGTTGCAAAGTAAGTTGGTGTTCCGTACCCTTGACGGAAGATGTGTTGTTGATGGTCTAGCAGGTTTTCGGCTTCAAGGAAATGCTTTAGCCTCCTGTTGACCATTCGCTCCAGGACCTTGGCAAAACAGCATGTCAAGGCTATTGGCCGAAACTTGCTAACTTCATGGATTGTTTCATTGGCTTTTGGGATGGGAATGACTAAGCTCTCCTTCCACGACGCTGAATACGAGTTGGTGAGCCAGAGCTTGTTGAAAAGCTCCAGCATCCGTAGCTGGCCTCGCGTTGGTAACCTCTTGAGTAGAGGGTACCCGATTTCGTCGGGACCCGCCGACTTTCCGTTGCTGCAGCGGAGGGTATGCTGCAATTCCTGCCAGGAGAATGCCTGGTTGATTTCCGAGTTCCCAGCGTCAGAAGAAACAGAGAAACTTGCAATAGATGACGTCGAAAGCTTAGCTTTCCACTTGAATTCGTCTTCGTACTTCTCGATGGCTGCGAGATCGGCAAAGTATGAGCCGAGTTCGTCCGCTACAATTGCAGGGTCAGAAACCGCTTCACCGTTAATCTGTACGTGGAGCGGTTTCATGCGCCGTTTCCCACTGAGGGCGTTGACTTGCCTCCATAAGTCGGCCGAAGACTGTGACGAATTCCTTCCTTCCAGAAAGTCCATCCAGCTGGCTCGTTTGGCGACACGGATTTCTTGCCGGCATTGATTGTGCGACTCATGGTAGTTACGGAGAGCGTCCTTACGGTCGGGATGTTCGATAGGAAGGCGCTTTATACGGCGAAGCGCTTTACGCCGGGCTTTAAGGGCTTTCCTCGTACCTTTATCCAACAAGCGTAGCACTTTTCGCCCCGCTGCTGGTCTTTGGGATGGTTGCTGTTGCCGCTTCGTATACCACTTCTGCAAAGTCTTCAATGCTGTTCGGATTACGCTGTAGTAACGAGGACTGAAAGGCTTCACCATAGCTATCCCAGTCCGCTTGTTCATAGCGCCATCGGGGTCTCCGTGTTGCCACTGAGTTTTTCCAGCAAAGCAGCGGCTGACATCAGAGACGTCGATGGCAGAAGTGTGCCACTCGTTAAAGTACGTGGGCACACCGTCATTCAGAATCACAATGTCTTCCTTCTCGAAAATATCGACCAGGGTAACACCTCGAGGGTCGGAGCGCGGGCAGCCCCAGCTTGGGTGGTGCCCGTTGAGATCCCCAACCAAGATGCGCGGTTCCGGTAGTTTAATTATGGCTTCGCTGAGTTGATCGTGCAGGTTTGGCAGCCGTCCGCATGGCTGGTATGCACATGGAACGGAGATGTTCGCCGGTGCCACCAGCTGGAATTCCATATCGACAACCTGGAAAGGTATCGTCTTCAAAACCCCGATGACCACGGAGTGCCGGAAGTTGTTTCCCCGTTTTGCTGTCCTCGTATACTTACCGCCTAGAGAGCGGTTCATTTGGTCTGTTGTCGCTTTGTTAGTTGCCTGGAGTGCGATGACCAAGGGGGGATCGTCGTGGCAAAAGGAGCTCTAGATCACCAATGTGGTCAGGAACCCGTTAATGTTCCACTGCAGTTCCGGTGGGGTTAAGACACACAACTAAACAGCTGAATAACAGCTGTATAGAAGCGCAAATGGATATGCAAGAAGAGCTTGTCACAACCGAATTGCTTGTCTAGAGGTTGAGTAAACGTTACCTCATATCGTATAGCATTTGTGCAATAAATAATATAAGCAAATATATATAAAATAAGCAAAGCGTTTACAGTGGAAAATTTTCAGTTGGGTAGTGTATTTTAACAGAATCACTTTGTGCTTCAGAACTTACCGGGCAAGCACCTTCATTCGAACAGTAATAACATACTGCGACACTCTTTAACACACTTCCACCAGTGATGAAAACTAGAGGCGCACAAGGAATTGTGGTCATTAGGTATAGTTCATTTTACGCGATGACAGCATTCAGTTAGCCTGACATATCTGATAATATTATTGTTAATTCTGTCAGCGGGTAGGTAACTGTACAAGTTCATTAATGAATTTAAAAAATCAGTTCATCAAAAACGTTTCGTGTAATGGTGTTTTTCAACAAAACCTATGAACAGAATCATATTTCAGTTAATACCAAAATTTCATTCAAATCAGGAACCACTGCAATGAATTTTTACAATAGTTAGTCATGTTGTTTATTGTGTAGCCAGCTCCGGACAGAAGATTCGATCAGCTGCATGGATGCATACATGACGAATGTAAAAATAGCTATAAATGGCAAAGTTATTTACTCACTGGATATTTTCTATTTCTGAAGATGAGAGGCATTTCTAAATACTGATATTAAATAACTTGTTGGGTAGTTTTGTTTTTTAGTGAACGGTTATACACCCTTTAAGAAAACTAGTTTGCTTACGGACATGGAATTTTCACGCAAAGATTGACACTTGGCTTCGAGATTTTTCGAAGGAGCGACCGAAAAAGAAAAAAAGTCGCCATGTTTCACGCAACCACTGACGTTTGCTTATCTGATTTCCCCATAGGAATCTTTGACGTCCCTAATCCTTGACCCATCGTTTTAAAGCGCAAGTTGCGTTAGATCTTCTAAATGATCGATACAAGTGAAAACTGAGATATTGATTTATTAAACTAGCATGTTACAAAAAAGGTAAGTCCTTTCAATTCATGAAATTATTAGGTTTTTTGATGACCACCGCAGTGTAGATTTTTGTTTGTGCACTAAAACGGCAAGATCATGACGCCTAGAAATCGAAAAATATGAAAATTTCACTCAACTGGATTGTCTTTAAAAAAGAGCATTAAATGTACTAAACTTGTCCCAAAAATAGGCAATTCTCGTACGGATTACAATTTTACAGGAGATGTGGCATTAATCATTACTATTCTATATTATTGCTGTAGACATTAGTTATTTGCCTCATAGGCCGAAGTGAGGGGCTAGGCTGACATTGCATCCCGTAAAACTATGAAAAAAAATGAGTTCATTAACATAGCGTTGTTGTATTTCAATAATAAACTGTGCTTATACTTTTTGGGATACCTCATACTTTGTATTGTTACTGAATACGCCAGTTTACATATTTGACGGCTGATTAAATTATATTATATCAAAAAACAACATATTTACTAGGTAATAATCCTTAGTGCCATACTCACTACATTTTTGCACTACAGGTGGCACAAATAACATTTATGCACTACCTATAAAAGCATAACTGTCCCAGATTTGCTTGATTTCCTATTGATTTGGGACAGTTATGCCATTATGGGCAGTAGAGAAGTAATTCAAGCAATTTCAAACAAAGTTCAAAAGAAAAGTGACGAAACGGTAAATAATCATACACAGATCCCCGAATGATTCCACCGAAATGGGATATATTCCTCCACAGCTGAACAATTCTCGTTGGGATGCATTGAGTTGGATGATCATGAGTGAAGTTTTCATCTGGACGTACTCGGAATGATGCTCCGACGAATGCTCCAATTCGGTTCCTAGCTGAGCAGCAGATCCGGCAATCAACTCCATCTGTAACGAGGAAAGGTCAGTGCTTTGTCCTATTTGGAATCAGACCAAATTCGAACTCACAATCTCTTCAATCGATTCTAGCAGGTGACACCAAAAATAGCACTCCGCGACATAGACGCATGTACCCGAAAAAAACACTATAGAAATTAATGTAATTCCACCTTTGATCACCAGTAATACACTAATTGAAATGATCAACATAGAAGTATAGTAGACAATGGCGTAAAGAGCACTCACAGTGTTTTGTATCAATTGAATGTTTCTATGAAAGAAAGAAAAAATCATTCATCGATCAATAATTAACATAAACCGATGAACTGACAAACCTCATCACTGCAATATGCTGTTCCAAGGTAGTCCCCACGATTTGTTTCAAATGCTTCCACTTCAATACATGCGATAGCAGTTTCCGTGATGATCCTACCGTATTGTTGTTATCTTCTGAAATCTGAGTCAGCACTCGATTTTGGATTGTCTCATAACCACGTGCTACAATCTTCAGCTCACTTTTTAGTCCCATGAGTAGAGACATTACCGTAAGTGAGAAACATAAATATCTATTGCCCCAGAAAATGACGAGCATAAAAACATACGCCTCCTGTAGAAAACGAGCAACCATGGGTCCCAACAGATGAAAATTTTTTGGTATGCCAAAGACCAGTTCTCTAGCGGTGCTCGGAACCATCACCGCCACTTGATCCCAGAACAAGAGAAGAAAAATCACCAAAGTCACTTTTCCGGCAGCCCTAGCAGCATCTTGTCGAACAGATGCATCGTAATCGGGATCACCGGAATGACCAAATTTGCTGTCGACAAATGCCTTTAATTGTCGAAAGACTTCTTGGTAATGCTCCAGGGTGTACACTTTTATTACAGAGCTTATCAAACCCACTGCTGATGCGATGGACGCGCAAAGTCCCAGCACATCGTCTTGGTTGTGGATGCTGAATCCGACCCTTGCTAGAGTCACGATGAACTGGTAGAATCCCAACAGCCGATACAGAGTCAGACAGTGACGCTTCCAGCGCTCAGGACCAGGAATCGGATAGATCCCAGCGCAGATCATAACCAGATCCTGACATCGGTTACTGCCATAGCTGAGATAGGGCTTCACCGAATGACGGAGGTTGCGGCAACGTACTTTAAGATTCACAAATAAATTTCTTAAACAAACCATCTTGGTGAAAGTGAACTCCATGACTCAATGCATGGTTCGATTCAGAAGATTCCAGAGGCTCTACCAGTGTGGGAATTGAGACACTCGGTTCATGTTCGTCAGTCGATGTGGGTCACCACTGCACAGTGGTCCAGGATTGGAATTTAGCAAGACAAAAGTCCACAGTACTTTTGTTTTAGGATTTAACCGTTTGGTGTCTTGGGTGAAGTTTTTTTTCTTAAAATTATCCTTCTTTTGGTGCCTTCAAACATTAGGGTGATCCTGTAATTTTTTGAAATCCAAAAACTTATTTTCTTATTTAAAAAAATATTGTTCAAAGAAGTTGTTTTTAGTTAATTTCAAGCAACTTTGTTGTATAAAGTTTTTTTCTATCTCTTACCGTTTCCATTTTAGAGATTTTTTTCTGAACTGCGTTAGGGTGGACCCAAAGAATCAGTTTTTCAGCTCTTACTTTTTTATTTCAAATTTTTCGAAAAAACTGTCTGGAGAAAACTTTTACAACTCGTCAAAATACACAACTTTGCTCAAAAAATAAAATCTGTATCCCTCTACTTTCAAAAGATATTGATGATTTTCTAAATAAAATAGGCCCTTTTCAAACGTCAACTACTCAAAATGGGGCAAACGTACTGACATTTTTTAGCCATTTTTTGAAAGGGCATACTTTAGTGTATATTATATGGGAAAACTGGAGATACTTTTTTTTTTCTTTATCTTAAGTTAAACTTATTTAAGTTCACTCACTTTTGCAATTAAATTTGGTAATAACTCCTTCTAAAATAGAGGAAGAAACGATATTTTAAAAGAAAAACATGTGTCTTGCTAAACTACAAGTCGTTTTTATTTGCTCTAGAAATAACGGTTTCACTTTTAGTGTTTCAGGAATAAGTTGAAAAGTTAAATCTATAGGTCCAACGTACGGACTTTTCAGTTGGCGACGACGGAAAATAGGTTCAGTGGTAAGTGTTGAGAAGTGTTAAAGTGAAGGTTGAGGATAATTTTCGACCATCCTCTACACCACTAGTACGACGAACGCCATCAAGATAGAGATTTTTCGCGAGTCATCTGTCGGCTGCCGGTAGTTTGCTCTATTATCTTAATGATCTACAAAAAGCACTGCGATCCGGAGTGGTAAGTTTTTTTCGTCGGGAGATTTTGAAAACCAATTTCGGTGGGTTTGGCGTTTTACGGATCGCAGTGGCTTAATTTCGGCTCCATTTTGACCCGGTAATTGAAAGGCGCTTTGTGTTGACCTTCATTTTATTTTCGATGCGCAAATAATAAATTGAGGAATAGAAAAGAAATTTTCCGCAGCAATTGCCTTTTATTTTCTTTTATTAAGAGTGTTTTCTTTTATTTAATAGATAGTGATAGTCGGCGGGATTCACCATCGCTGTACGTCCATCCAGTGGCACTTCTGGTGATTTTCACGGCGCATCTATAGCTTCCAATTCGGATCGATTGCTCGCATTTCCTCTCGTCGATCCTTCTTGGCCAGTTCCGGTCCAGGTAGTACCCAAATCTCGACGTCAACAGACGGCTTGCGTGGTTGCCAAAGGGTAAGACCGCGAGTAGCGAAACATTACTCTTATCCCCGGTCGGCAAAGGCTGAACAACATTTTGGTGAGTGATTTTTTTTAAACTTTAGGAGGCCAGTTAGTGCATCCATTTGTAAGAAGACATTGTTTTATTGTAGAGGTGATTGCGCTATTTACCAGTTGAAAACATTTCTTTTTAACATTT